GCAGTTTTAAGCAAAACTTTAGAAAATTGAGCATTTAGAAGAAAGAGTAACTTGGCTGAAACTGGAAAATTCTGAAATTTGAAGGCATTTAAAAAATGTTTTTAATAAATGGCTTTATTAATCTATAAACATAAATCTAAAACAAGTTAAAAAAAGTCATTTTCCTTTTCCCAGCAACGAAACTGAGTTTACTGCGCCGGTGCGTTGGGTTGGCGCATCGAGCAACCGAGCTGAGATTTTCTCCGCCAAAATTGACCAAATTTCTTCAGGTTTTTCGACATTTTCAGTAACAAACTTCTTAACGAAGAATGTTTTCTTCCGAACATCTGATGATGGATGAAAACGCACTGACAGCGACTACTTGGCCTCGCTCAAAAACCTTTTTAACTCCTTCCAGGCATTTAGTACATCAGCACCCTTAACATAGTATTTGCAGTATCTGCAGCTTCWCCCTTGATAATTTGTTGATTCATTGTTATCAGCGCTATAAAATAAACTGCACCGAACACAATAATATCACACTCKATAATTGATAAATCAAAATCACTGTCAGTTTAATAACGCAATGCGTATTTGAAAAGTTTATCAGATCTACAGATGCGCCCGCACTAAGAGAAAAATGTCGAATTCAAAGTGCATATGTGCTATTGTAGGAGTTGTTGGAAGAGGCCGGAGTGRGAGCCGCCGTGATCGAGRAAAATCGGTTCAYCCTCCCATAAAAAGTTATCACTTAAAAAAAAAATGAYTTCATCCACCAAATAAAAAGTTCTGGTAGTTTTCCTACCACGACACTCAAGAATTCACCACTTGTCCAAAACGGCTGRACTCGATTGTTTTATCAAAATATGAGTCTTACATAAGAACAAATTCACAGCCACTTTCACCAAAATACGTCGTACCATCCTTCCGATATTTCAAAAAAGATTTYTTTTKGAAGAACTTTGACCATCAATAGCAGAGGAGCCAGACATTTCTTGTTAACMAAAGTTAGGTCAGATCGCCTTCTTTTGGTCCAAAGAATATCGCAGTACCCTTTCGATCATGAGCTTACGGGACACGCTGTCCAAATTTCTGATGATAGCCACATTTTAAAATCAATGAAATGAGTTGAGTAAACACTTCAAAGCCCAGTTGCAGTTTAGTGTTCTGTTATCAAAATAAATTCGGAAACCGACCAAAAGTGTTTCTTGTTTAACACAACCGGATTTCTTCACTGTTGAAAACGCTGCGGTTCTCACCACTTAAAATAAAATACGGGCGGTAGATAAAATGACGATTGTTGCAACATACCTGATCCCGGCTGTTCAATGTCGGCATGGCATCGCTCGATAAGGTATTCCGCAACATCGTAGTGTCCATTGCGACAAGCAATAACTAAAGGTGTTGCACCAGAAGTCTTCGCTGCTACGAGCATTGACACCTCCTCCTTTCCTTTGTTGCAGTGCAAGTAAATCTGGAAAAAGGCAAAAGTGTTGCTTGAATGGCCGCAAACGAGTCTGGCAAACCGGGAAATATGGGAGGTCTTCTATTTTTATATGGCCGCACGCTCGTGCTACGGATGAAATATACTTTGCTGGCTCATTTGTTGCGAATCCCCGATCGAATAGAGGTAGTTTGCGCCGGGCAAAAATCAGCGGGGAACTCAATTAGGAAAATGTAATTGCCGCTAAAAAAATTCGTATTGCTTCATTATGACGACTTCGGTAATTCCGACAGATCAAACCAGATTTTCCGCATGTTAGCTTTTCAAATCAACCAAATCGCTTTACAATAGCTAACAATCAATTAGCAACTTTTGCGATTGCCGGCCAGTTGATTATTACGTTATTGTTTATCACAATGTTTCTGCGGCAATACATCCCATTAAAGCGCATAATGTTTATTTGAAAGTGTGACGCGAAACGTGTTTGCTTGCAAAACAGCGCAGTTTTTCGTTAGAACTGTGCGTTTCGGGCCTAAAGCCCGTCTCCCATGCATCC